CCCCCTTCCCCCTTCCCTTCCCTTCCCTTTCCAACATCTTTGAGTGAGGTCCTATCTGGGAGGCGCCTCTCTACTAGCACTGATAACAGACGGGTCAGCTGTGCTGGCAGAGAATCCTGGGAGTTGTAGTCCAGCCCAGCTAGAAGGCATCAGGTTGTAGAGGGCCAGTTGCACAGCAACTGAAATGTAACCACGCACAGAGAGATGGGCACTAAACCTGGTGATTTTCATGTCCGGACCGCCAAGCGGTAGCACTTGAGGACCGTTGTTGACCCTCGGTTTCCCCACAGAGCCAGGCACGCAGAAGAACTGCAGCAGAAGCACCCCCCGATTGTCGAGGAACATCCCGCCTGCTCTCGGCCACTCTCAGAAATGTTGGACTCCATAAAGGATCCGGCGCCTCCCGTCTCCACTGCCAAGTAAACCAGTGGGGGCCGGCCCTCTCCCAGCCTGGTGGCGGAGGCCAGCCTCGCGTCCAACTTCTCCCCACTTCTTTCCAATAGAAGCACTTTACTACACTGACAAGGAAGCCGGTTCCCTCTTTGACCCGCATTGTCAAGAGGGTCCTCGTCCGTGCACCTCACCCGCCCGGGACTTGGATCAAAAGCAGGGAAGGGGATGGGATGGGGGCGATCTCCACCCACAGGCCACATGCGACCGCCCGGCACCTCAGTTCAGACCCTCCCCTCGGTTCACGTGCTGTCCTCCAGCTTCCAAGCTGACAAAGAGAACGTGGAGGAGTCGGGAAAGGAAACGCTTGTGAATGTTGCTCCTCTTCTTACATCTTCTGTCGCTCCATGCGGGGGGGTGCGATTCTGCCCCCCGGAGCTCAGCTGAGCCAAGGAAGATCTCAGGGCTGGGTCCTCCAGATCTCCAGGTCCTGCATTCCTGGGTTGTGCTGCGGTGCGCTGATAACGGGTGTCACTAGCAAAAATCCCATCGGTCAAATGCCCCAGGACCGTTTGCGCTCAATCAGCTTGTTACCCGAAGGCCCCCGCAATGCGCCTTGTCCTGTATCACAAGAGCAACTTCCCTTGGCCCTCAGACCAGTTCAATATTACCGCCACCTCGAAGGATAGACCCAGAGGGTTCCTAAAGGTCATCTAGTCCAGCCCCATGGTAGAAACCGAAATCTAGAGCTGAAACGCTCCCGGCCAACGGTTGGACAGCTTCTGCTTGAAAATGCCAACAAAGGGGTAGGTGGCCTATATTGGCTGGGTTCGCACAACCGTCTCGACTAGGTGAGGTTTGGTACTTCGTGATTCAACGCTTGTGGTGAGCCTGCCAAAATGTTACGCCAAAAATTCTTGATTAGCACAGAGCAGGTTATGTGAACATAGCAACTGTGTTTTGCTAACTCAGGTTTAGGGTGTCATATGAACCCAGAGTTAATGCTAGGTGGCTGATTCAGCCCTTTTTCACCCTTTCAGGGAGATAGCAATGGATAGAAAAAACGGGGGGTATGGGGAGACTTAAACCTCTTCCAGAATGCCAGTCGAAATAGCTCTCTTATTCAGAGGTTGAGGGAAGAAATGGAGAATCAAGACCTGGGCATCATGCAGAGACGCTCCAGAGCATCCTCCTTAGCTCGTGTTTTAGCCTGGGTGGCTTTTGCTCATTTTTCTTTTTGAAAAATGCAAGTCTAACATGCATTTTTAGTGCAAGAAAAGACCCAGTCTAAATAAATCCTGTGCGTTAAGGCCAGATTGGGGGGGTGGTATAGTGGAATAGGGTGAAACACCTTCATACACACACAAGCTGGGCTCTTTCCCTGCCGATGTCCTGGGTGGTTCGTTCCTGTTCCTCCAGCTTCATTTCTTCAGGGACCTGAGAGGAGGATGCGTGGAGATCATGACTGCAGTGAGAAGTATGCGTGAAATGCTGTTTTAATCTCATGGCGTGCAGACGCTGCCGTGGGTGAAGGGGGGGGATGAACGCCCAGCCAGCATCTGAGCCTCTCCAGCCTCTCCAGCTGCTTGGAGGGTCTGTGCGGGTCAGGGTGCGAAGAATGCCAAGGCGGGTCAGAAGAAACTCTTGGAAAAAGATAAAATGTTAAAACGGATTTGGACCCTGGAGAAGATCCGAGGGTTATTTACATCCAGCCTTTTATTTTCCCATCACGGGGAAGTAATCAAAACATGATCACTGCCTTGACTTGAGCTCTTCAGCAGGGGGGCTCCCCCCAAGACTGGAGGGGACCCCCCCGGCTCCCATCAGTAGCCTTTTCCTCCACGAATCTGGTTCCCCCCCCTGTTCTGCTAAAGGTGCAGTTGCACCGACAGTACCCTGGGGAACTCTGTGCCAAGGATCTGCATACTCAGAAGATCACTTGGGTGGAAGGAGGCACAGGCAGGTTGAGTAGACCGGGGCAGGGGGAGATCGTCTGGAAAGCAAGAAGCATAGAGCATAGAACATATTTGGATTCGATGCAACATTTGTACGAGGCGTGTTAGTGGCTTGGAGAACTTCATATGTGGACTGTTCTGCCCAAAGCCGGTACGTGTCTTGATTCATTCTGGTTTCATGTATTTGAACTCAGACGTCGCATCTGTAAAACAGCCAGTGGTGGCTTGGGTATTAAATGGCATTTCACAAAATTCTGACAGAGCATGATCCGTGGGCTTCCCTTCTTTCCTGCATATAGAAAGCTAGCCTGTAAGGAAACTCAAATCTCGTGCTGCTAGCTTTCTCTATGCATCTGTCCCTCAATGTTGGGCTGTGCACAGACGCAGACGCGTGCTTCTTTACGCTGATCAGATTAGGAAGTAGTTTGGTCGAACGGTGAAGGCCCCAGGCTAGAAAGCAGGAGACAGGGAGTCCCGCCGTAGGCAGGAAAGCCAGCTGGGTAACTTTGGGCCAGGCCCTCCCTCTCAGCCTGATCCACCTCGCAGGGCTGTTGTGGGGAAAATAGGAGGAAGGAGTATTAGGTATGTTCGCCACCTTGAGTTATTTATAAAAATAATAAAGATGGGATTAAAAAATCTTTTTTTTAAAAAAAGTAGCCCAAATGCTCCATGGTCACCCTGGTGGAAGACAGATTTCTGCCCTCCGAAGGGATGGCAGAATGGCTTTGGTTCCTCTCCTGCACTGGAGCTAAAAATGAAATTTTTCAGATTTTAATGGAACCGGTCTTGTCCTCCTCTTCCCTTGTTAAAAGTGGGGAGGCTTCTGGACTTTAAAGGAACCCTTTCCGGTGGATCGGCATGTGCTTTTCCCAGCCACTAAGGAAAGTCTCAGTGGGATGGGGGAAAGCCCTCTGTGCACGTCCCAAATCCCGAAGCTCGGGCCCTTCCAGCATGATGGCAGCCACAGACGTTCGCTTGGCTACTCAGTCAGACTTCAGCGTTCCAGTGTAAACATTGCTGAGGCTTCGTATCTGGTTTCCAGAGGTTTTGAAATCCGTGCCCGAGTTCACGTACTGTGCTCGCTCACTCGTCACGTGGCTGGCCTGGCTTTGGTGATGTGGATCCAGCCGTTGCAAACTGTGGCTGAGGGCTTCCCGTGAGGCTGGATGCAACCCGCTGGGCTTCGCTCAGCAACCGTGTTTAACCCAAACCCTGGCTTAAGGCCATGTCTGAACCAATCTGGTGGAAAGGGGCACACCCCAACTTTTCTTGGAATGGCACATCGCCGGCCCCTGGCACTCCCGGCCACAAGATGCAGGGGGTGGTAGGAGAGTGGGTTTCCCTGGACCCTTTAAAAAACAAAAAACCCCAGAAAGGTGGAGGTGATTTCCCAGGGAGACATCTGCCCTGTCTCCTTCCTGCCCTGAGCGGATTCCCTGCATCGAGGAGCAGTCTGTCTGACTCTGAACCTTCTCCCTTAAAGGAGACCCTTGGGGGTCTTCAAGGAGATCCTTAAAGGAGACCCTTGGAAGTCTTTAAGGAGACCCTTAAAAGAGACCCTTGGAGGACTAAAGGAGACTCTTAAAGGAGGTGCTTGGAGGTCATCAAGGAGACCCTTAGACCCTTGGGGGTCTTTAAGGAGACCCTTAAAGGAGACCCTTGGAGGTCTTCAAGGAGACCCTTAAAGGAGACGTTTGGGGGTCTTCAAGGAGACCCTTGGGAGTCTCCTACTGGTGGTGAGGCTGGGAG